GACTGGTTTTTGAACTTCAGTATCAGTCATTAACTGAGAAAAGAACTGCTGATTAATTTCATTTCTAATTCTGAAGATAAGATTTGAGTTTAGCTTGTTTTTTTACAAGCTCTTCTGATTTGAGACTTTGAGAATAAGTCTTCTGTTTCTGAAGATTTGAAAGTTCTTCTCTTTTTACATTTCTTTTTTTTCCTTTCTATGAACAGAGGTCTGAGAAATATTTTTCTCAGTTTTCTCAGAATTTTGAGCAGATTTTGAACTAGCAGGTTTGAAGACAGCAGATTCTGCTACTTGAGCATATGTTTTCTTCTGATTTGAAGAAGAAGATGAAGAAGTAGAAGATGAAAAAGAGTCAGTGACTGTACTGAAAGATTTCAATGTTTTTTAAATTGTGTTTGAAATTCCAAGTGTGAACTTGACCACTTCTTGTAGTTGTCTAGCCTGAGTAGACTGACCGTGTGACCGTGTCTGGGACCAGGACCAGATTTTTTAATAGTTTCATTACCAATTCGACTGATCCCATTACACGGTTTTAACATTAGATAGTAGTCTCATACTGTCTCAGTGAGACTTACTGTCTACTCTTGTCACATTTTTCAAATGAGACCATGATTTCCACTTCTCAATTTAAATTATTTTTATTGCTTTAAATGACTTTAAATCTCATTTGAGTGTTATCAAAAAGTGTTACTTTTTAAAAAATTAAAAATAGTCTAAAAAAAACCTTGAAATGTCTAAAAATAGTAACTTTATGCCAAGAATGGGACTAAATGAGACCAAATGGGACCACTTTCTCATTTTTTTCAAGTCATGGTTTCATTTTAAGATCTGATATATAGTCACTTTACATGTTTTTTTGATAGTCAGTCCCAGCGGGATTCACGCCAAGAAATGTATGGAATCAGACCAAATGAGACCAAACGTGAAATTCATGGTCCCGGCGGCCAGTCTAAGCCTGAGTATGAAGAATTAACAGAACTTCTTCATTCTCCTCACTCAGACACTGTTTTCCAAGAATTTTGCTTGCTTTTTCCAGTTCCTGTATTTCAAGAACTTGTTGTTTCTCTATTTCTTCCTTCTTTCTTCTCTTTAGAATTTCAATCTCAGGAACAGCATCTGGGAAAACATCTTTTTCCACATCAACTGAGTGTACTCTTAAACTCATTTTACTCACTGAATGAAAAGTTGGTCAGACTGTTTCAATTGAGAGATTTATCAGTCTATTTTCAAATGAAAAGTTGGTCAGACTGTTTCAGTTTCTAAGTTATATAGAGTAATATCTCTGTTGAACTGTTTGAGAAAAGTTCTAGAAAAGATAATAGCTACTAGATTATCTTTTATAAGATCTATTAATGATTCTCTTCTATTTAATGAATAAATGAGAGATAGAAAACAATGTTCTATAATTGACACTGTTCTCTCAGTTATTCATGATATTCAAGTAGCAAAGTATGAACATCTGATCTCAACTGCAGTTTTTATTGATATAAAAGATGCATTTGATCATGTTTCAAAGTCTAAGATGATTTAAACTTTGAAGATGTTAAAACTGTCACTTTCTCTAATAAAATGAGTTGATTGTTTCATGTCTAAAAGAATTATATAACTATTCTTTAATGAAAGAAAACAAGATAAAACTGAGATAAAAATAGAAGTATCATAAGAATCTTCAATCTCACCTGTTTTATTTATAATATACACTGCATATCTATTCAAAAATAGAAATATGAGAATAGTGTGATCTTTAAGTTATATGAATGATATTGATCTAGTCTACAGCTCAAAAACTATCAAAGAGAATTTGAAAGTGATTGAAAAAGCTGTAAAGAAAATCTTTATTAGAGCAGATATTAATTAAATTCAATTTAATATGAATAAAACTGAGTTAATTCATTTCTTTTCTAGATTCAATAAGAAAGAACTATCTCTAACTCTTTTAAATAGAGAGATTAAACCTAGTATAAATATCAAACAATTAGAAGTATAATTAAACTTCAAGTTGAATTTTAAATATCACATTTAATAAAGAACTGTCAAGACAGAAAGACTATTGAATAATATAATCAGACTATTAAATACAGAGAGAGATCTATTCTTTCAGACTATGAGACAGTTATATATAGTCTGTATTACATCAGTAGCTGATTATAAAGTTCAAGTTTGATAAAATAATTAAGAGAATTTCACTGAACTCTTTCAAAGTCTGTAAAACAGAGTCTTGAGAAGAATTCTGAAAGTATTTAAATTATCTTCTATTAAAATAATGAAAATTGAAGCTTTAATTCCTTCTTCTACTATTAGATTTGAAAAGATCTGTATGAACTATACTCTGAGAGTTATAAAGATGAGCTTAAATTATATAATCAGAGAAAGAGTCTCTTCTTTATTTTTATTAATTAACTCTGAAAATGAACTGAATTGAAATAGATTTCTTGATTAAAATGAAAATAATTCTTCAAAGAAAATGTCTTCTTAACTGTACAGACTATACTCTCTGATTAAAAATCAATTTTCTTTTTTAAATATTGAAAAAGTTAATCATGAGAAGTTATCTCTCTGAAGAGAAAAGCTTGAATCTCTTATAAACTTATAAATAAGTGAACTATCTAAAGAGAAAGAATATGAACAGTATTTGAAGAGAATTTCTATAATTAATATAAAAGACTCTATTCTGATTTATTCAGATGACTCAAAAAATAAGAATTTGAATAGATTAGATACAGACATTGCTTATTCTGAAGATAATATTAATTTTATCTCAGATTTCTGAAATTTAGACTGTGAATCTGAAGTCTTTAATACTGAACTATTTATAATAGTGAAAGCTTTCAAACTTATTGAAATAAAATCTTATAAAAGAGAAAATAGTTTGAAAGAGATATAAATATTCTCTGATAGTCAAGCTGCTTTAAAAAGACTTAGAAATAGTCAGATTTATAATAATCAAATAAATCTTGAACTGATCTTAAACTCTGTTTTGAAAATTCAAAAGAGAAGAATATTAAAGCTAATAATTTATCTACACTGAGTTCCTGCTTATATGAATATTTATGACAATGAATTGACTGATTCAGCTGTAAAAAAGAGTACAGAATTAAGCAGATCTATTCAAAAAATTATGTTCTAATCTTTTATAAAGAGAAAAATAAAAGAATCTTATTTAGATAAGTGAAATAAAAGCTGATAGAAACAAAGAAAGAGTATATATTATTCAAGATTTAAAATAAAACTCAAGTGAAAATCTTGTTTAATTAAATGTAAAAAGAAAATATTCTTATCTATAATACAGCTGAAACTAGAATATAGCTATTTCAAATCTTATATACAAAGATTTAATAATAGATTTGACTCAATAGAATGCTCATTCTGCAATATAAATGAAAATTCTGAGTATATTATAATACACTGTGTATTATATAATAGTCTCAGAGCCAGATTGAAAGAGAAGTATAATCTAAATTAATTAAATATAAGATTCTTATTCTCAACTGAGACAGGAATTAAATACTTAATAGACTTTCTATCAGAAACTCAAGCAGCTATAAGAAAATGACTAAATTCAGAAATATCTGAATATGAAGAGGAGAAAATTAATCAGATATAGTCTGTTAAAACAGCTATATACTATCTTTTAATAATTTATTTTGTTACAGTCTCTCTTTACTTTATCTTTTTCTTTCAATTTCTTTCTATCTATCTATTTAATGTATCTATTTTTAAGACTGTGTTCTCTTTTCCTTTGTTATAATATTGTCAAATAATTTCAAAGTATCAGAAGATGTTAAAACACTGTAATTTGTAAACAGTTTTTATATTCTGAGCTGAAATTTTCTGATTTTGTATATCTGAAATTGATGAATTTATAATAGTTAACTTTACAGATATAGAAAAAACTCTGAGAATTAAAAGTTTTCAGATAGATGTTATAGTCTCTGACTGTATACATCTATAATTGAAGAATAATAATAATAATAATATAACTACTATTTTAACATATTATCAGAGATTTATAATATCTTTTATATAAACTTACTCTATTATACTGCTACTGATCTGTTCTCTTCTCAACTAACTTCTAACTGACAACTGTCAGAAATTATAGAAAAAGATAATAAACTTGAATAAAAGATTAAAGATATTCTTGATAAGAAACTCTACAGCTGTGACTGATAATATCTTATAAAATAAGTCAGCTATAATTATCTGATCTGAACTTTAAGCTCTATATTATCTGAGACAGCAGCTCTTGACTGATAAGAACTACATACTTATAACTCTATATTACTTCTGAAAAGAAGAGACTAATATAACAGGCTGCATCTAATCAATTATATAGACTATTTCATTACACTTCACAGATTTCACTGAAAGCTTCAATTTTCAGTCACTGATTCTCAGTTAAAAAACTCATGAAATTTCTATTCTTCTACTCTGAAGCTTTACTATATATATAAATATTCACTTTAATCACTGATTTCTGCACTTTCTCTTTCTTTTCTTCTCTAATGTTTTTCACTTTTATATTATAAGATCTATATATTATACTGATCTATTCAGTGTAGACTTATATTAAAGTACTTAAGTTCTGAATTTAATTTATTCTTTATAGATTTTAAACTCACATACTCTGATTTCTTATATTAAAATACTACTGAGTGACTATATTAATTATTCAGCTATTAGAGTATATACATTTATAATTGAAAAAGAATAATAATAATAATAATTAAATTTTAAAGATTTAAATAGCTGAGAATTTCCTTTTTTTTTTCTGCTTGAAATAAAGTCTTTCAGATATAGAGTCTTTTGCAAAGTTTCAGCAATTATTACAGAGTGTTTTTCTTTTAAAGAAAAAGTTTTGTAATATGATGAAAAATAATCTGAGTTAAAGTCAGTCAGATAGTTCTTTTCTTTATTACTCTATACAGATTGAGCAAATATATTTTATTGCAGAAGTAAAGTTGCTGTTTCTATCTATCACGCACTTGAATCCTATTGAAGAATTTTTTACTAAGTTGAGAGCTGATCAAGAATTTGATAATTTTCTTGAATGATTGTAATGTTGTTGAATCAAGAGAAGGAAGTGCAAAAGGCCATTTTCCGCACGCTGATCTTACTATTAAAGAGATCCTGGAGTGAATGAAGCCCGGTTTCACTTATCAATGAGTTCGCAGAAGCTTGCAATACAATTAAATTGGCCGCTCTGATGAGCCTCATAATAACGGAATATCCGCAGCAAAACTCTAACAACTCATATCATTGACACTCTGCATGTCCTAAGCGAAATGCAGAGCCGAACAAAAGACAACTCCCCCTTTTCTCCACCGCTAATCCGGGTCTTTAATTTTTCGCGGCACGGTTTTCGGCGCGCTTGATTGTGCTGGCATTGGCTGCCTCGACCATCAACTGCCGTTGCTGATCTGGGATTTGGTTGAAAATCTCTTGTGTTTTGATGAGATCAGAGAGGTTCTTCTTCAACTGTTCTGTCTCTTCTGCTGTTGGAACTGGGTCGGTTTGGAAGATGATTGGGAGGTCCCTGCTGGAGTCGCTCATGAAGGATGGAACTCTTTCAAGCGAATCGCGGTTGGCTGCATAAAACGAGTAGATGGAACCCAGGGTATCGCGAGCTTTCTTGGCTTTATCAATCGCCGCCGGCCGCGGGAGTCTCGGCACCGGATTTGCTAGGCTTGTCACTCATAAGGTTCTGGCACTAGCGTCTGGGGGCAAACGTGAAGTGACAATGTAGGAGACTGGTAAAACTTGTGATGTTAGGTTCGATGATACGCTGTAGAAGCTGCCTGGAGGAAAGAATGCCCAATATATAATAAGCACTTCTGAGGGGCTCATGGCGGTAAATCTTTATGCGACAGGTTGTGTTGGCTAGCGACAAGGTGCTGGAACACAGCGGCAATTCACTTGGCGCCAAACAATGGCTTGCTCACCCCAACCCATCTTTCGAAAGGGGTTTTCTCGAGCAGTTGTATCTTGTGCGCATTGAGTACAGGATAAGTGCTCCCGCTTATTTCTGGGGTTCTTTATTAAGACTCACCTTCTTTGTATTCAGTTCACCATTCCACTCGGTCCAACATCTGCTAGACAATTCCCGCGAGTAGTAGACCAAAATTACCACATCCACGAGATTCCCTTGTGACAACGGAATACTTGCCTTCACGATGCACTGGGATAAGTTGGCGGAGAAGAAGTCGCAAAGTCTATATGCTGCCTGGTTGAACTATCTTCTCAAACAATCCCCAGCCTTGCCTCTCGAGCTTGCCTCCAAGCTTCATCGTGGTTTTCGAGCAACCAGAGCTTCAGATTTCACAACTGGCGCATTCAATATGTGCTGTACTGTCACCTTTGAAGACGGTTTCAATGCTCTTGTTAGATTTCCCATCCTGGGCCGAAGCCGCTTCCGCTGTGAAAAAACTAGCGACGAGACCTCAGTGATGGCCTTTATTGCTCGATTCACATCTATCCCGGTCCCAACTGTCCTTGGCGCAGGACAATGGAGTGGCGGTCCTTATATCATTACAACAGTTATTGAGGGCACTTTGCTTTCAAAACGCCTACGAGATCCCTCTATGTTGGCGCCAAGCTTGAATCCGGATGTCTCTGAGTCGGATTTGAAGATTGCCTACTCTGGAATGGCTCACATTGTGCTAGAGCTCTCCAAGCCGGTATTCAAATACATTGGAGGATTGAAATACAACTCTGGGGGGTGGAGTGTTGCAAAGCGGCCTCTGACACTCAAAATGAATGAGCTTATACGAGTTGGAAATTTCCCTCTCAATGAATTTGTTGATTACAATCACACCTTTGAAAGCGCCTCCAAGTATTTCCAGCAATTAGCAGAGCAACAGTTTCTACACCTCAAATACCAACGCAATGATGCCATCACCAATGAGGACGACTGCCGGAAGAAATATGTGGCTCGCTGTCTTTTCCGTCAAATAGCACAACAGGTCCCAGTACAGCATGGCCGATACCACCTCTACTGTGATGATTTGCGCCCATCGAATGTCCTTGTCACGGAGTCTGATTTGAGGGTTACTGGTGTCATTGACTGGGAGTATACATATGTTGCGCCTGCTGAATTTACATACAGTGCTCCATGGTGGCTCCTATTTGAAAGCCCTGAGGCTTGGGACCTGGACAATTTCATGGATCGATACCGCCCTCGCCTTGAACTATTTCTTAAGGAGCTCCGTGTCCATGAAGACGAACAGATTCATCAAGGTAGTCTAAAGGAATCACAGCGTCTTTCAGAAAGGATGGCGCTCTCTATCAAAGATGGGCTCTTTTGGTTTTGTCTTGCAGCCAGGAATAGCTTCATGTTTGATGAGATCTATTGGACATTTCTTGACGAACAATACTTTGGGCCTTTGAGCTCTCTTGGCGATCGGCTTTCCTGTTTAACACAAGATGAGCAGGACCAGATGGAGGATTTTGTTCGGGCAAAGATGCAGCAGATAGAGGAAAGGAGGTTGGATGAACATCAAACATTTGGTCAAGTTTTTGAGTTATAGTCTAGTAAATTGACAGGAACTAAAACCAAAACTTGTTATTATTGCGACTGTAGAGCAGCTCTGCAGACAGCAAGGGTTTCCACTTATACATACCAGCATCCTGATGTGCAAATACCCGCCCGAAGGAGGAGATTCTTGTACTGTAATAGCATAATGTGGCAGTGTAAAAACCGTAGAAAAGCCTAATCATTTTCCACTTCAGTCATTGTTTTGTATTTGCTTGTCTAATAGAATTTTTTTAGTGTGGCCGCTGAATTCAGTTATTCGAGGAAAACGGCGTGAAGAAATTTAGACCTACGGAGTACAGATTATGCCTATGCCACCCAACTCGAAGAGGCTGCTTGCTATACATCCTAAAGTGTTTAGACAGCCTCAAAGGGCTGTCACTACCTCCCTGACTACCTCCCTGCCTAGCACTTTTATCACAGCCATGAACGACCCCCTTCTACCACTTTCACTACCTCTACCCCTCTCTTACTACCTCTACTACATCTATCACTATCATCAGATTAATCATACAGGCCATAGAGCCAGCCATTCTAGTCACCTGTATTCAACCGCTCCACCACGAACTCGTTCAATTTTTCGAATAAGAAACCGCCGATAGATCCATCGAACAGCCCTCGATCATACGAGCATTTTGACCCCAACGCCGACCGCATACCACCCCGTCTGGTGGTGGAGTTATTCAACCAAATGTGGTTGGAAGCCCCCGCGTGGGATTTTCCCCCGTCCACCCGGGAGCAACTAACTACCAACTGTGAGCAATGTTTGCAATGTTTGCACGGAGCTTGTGGCACTTCATGATCACAAACTGAGCAATTATTCCTTCTTTCTTCATCATCTCGTCGCCTGTTCCGAGGTGCAGGCTGAGGTGTGTTTCATATTCATTCAATAATGGATTCAGATGAACTGATCGGTCATAAGTACCCCGGGGATGATACTCGGCCCACGAGCAAGAAGGAGCTGGCAGGGTGGTACTGTTACGGCTGGGCCGCTGAGGTATTTACAGTTTGTGCTATGGGTGAGTTATTCCAACCCGTCTCTTTTTATTGTTTTAGCAGCTATGGACATGTTTACAGCGGGAAGTGAAGTGAGTGTTTGCAGAGGAAATTAGAGGATAGTTAAAAAAAAAGAGTGAGAGTGAGAGAGAGATCTTCGTATTTTCTGTGAACCATGCAACTTATCACTTTCTGACAGAGAACTAATGAAGTGCTAAATTTGCAAACAGGATCCTTTCTTCCTATCACCCTGGAGCAAATGGCTAGGGATCGAGGAGTTCTCCTTTCTGACAAAACTACGCCATGCAGTGCAAGTTGGAGAGTGACATCCGACCTGTTCACTTCGGCTGCCTCTTCTCCGAGCCGTCCAAGTTCTCCCAAAACTAGCCAGTGTGTCGTATATTTCCTGGGAATGGAAATAAACACGGCTAGTTTTGCGATGTACACATTTTCAGTGAGTGTATTAATACAGTCACTGCTTATAATCTCCATGTCAGGGGCAGCGGATCACGGCGTCTACCGCAAGACATTACTCTTGGTTTTTGCTTTCTTGGGGGCAGTGTCAACCATGCTCTTTCTGGGCGTTGTTCCGCAAGTTTATTTGCTCGGCGCATTGCTTGCAATTGTAGCAAATACTTGCTTTGGTGCCTCATTTGTATTACTCAATTCATTTCTGCCTTTGCTTGTTCGCCATCACCCCGCCATTCAATCTACCCCGGGCAGTCCTTTGATTGACGATGATGTGCAACCTTCCAATACGTCCAGCGAGCCTAGATCCAGCCAGAGTCAACGGCCCAGCAGTATGTCGTCCACATCACCACTACTTCAGCGTGATACTACCATGCCCATTGATGGCTCTCAGCTCAAATCTCCAAGAATGTCAGAAGAGCTCCAGCTGTCGACAAGGATCTCTTCCAATGGGATTGGTATTGGTTACATTGGGGCTGTTATTCTGCAAATCATGTCCATCCTCATCATTGTAGCCACAGGCTCGACGACCTTCTCCCTACGATTGGCTCTGTTCGGAATTGGATTGTGGTGGTTGCTTTTTACAGTCCCAGCTGCTATGTGGCTCCGTCCTCGTCCCGGCCCACCTCTCCCTACTTCTGCCAGAGACAACAAAATGTGGCCATGGCTTAGTTACATAGCGTTCGCATGGAAGTCCCTTGGGCGCACAGCTCTTCAAGCCCGCCATCTCAAGGACGTTCTTATCTTCCTAGCAGTGTGGTTTCTTCTTTCTGATGGCATTGCCACGGTGAGCGGCACAGCTGTGCTATTTGCCAAAACACAATTGGATATGAAGCTTGCTGCCCTTGGCTTGATCAATGTAATAGCAATGATCTCGGGGGTGTGTGGGGCTTTTTTTTGGAACTATCTGTCGCGTCGACTAAACTGGCGCGCCTCACAGACCATCATTGCTTGCATTTGTGTTTTTGAGTTCATCCCTTTTTACGGGCTCCTCGGCTTCCTTCCACCAATCAAACGGCTAGGCGTGTTTGGGCTTCAGAAGCCATGGGAAATGTACATGCTAGGAGCTGTTTATGGCCTTGTAATGGGCGGGTTGTCATCCTACTGTCGCAGCTTTTTCGGAGAGTTGATACCCCCGGGGTTCGAAGCATCCTTTTATGCATTGTATGCCATCACCGATAAGGGGTCGAGCATATTCGGTCCTGCGATTGTCGGGATGATAACTGATAGATACGGAGAAATTCGACCTGCGTTTGGCTTCTTGGCCATCCTAATTCTCATCCCATTACCGCTGATGTTACTAATCGACGTCGACCGCGGGAAGCGTGATGCTCAATTCCTTGCTGATGAGCTGGAAGAGAGGCGTCAGGAGCGTTGATATTTGGCCATGTCACAGGGTTTCATACATGTGTTAAATTTTAGCAACGCAGTCTATATTATCAATAGAACAAACTTTACTGACTCGTTACTCTCTTCCTTTTACACATATATTCACCGAAGGAGTTAAGTTTTAGCCCGGTCAGCCAATGCACCACTACACTACGGCGTCTTACGAATTGCTCCAAAGCTTGATCTGGATTGGCGAAGTTGGTAGACTCTGAGAAAATACTGGGGGATACAGTTGCAGTCGACCTGATTGCTAATTTGCCCGGATGTTCTGAGATGAGTTATGTAACATAAAATTTATTAACTATTCGCCACTACGAATAAAATAAAATCGAAAACTTAGATTACATATAAGTTAGGGAAAAGCAGAAGTACTGCAGGAGACTTCTGTAAAGTGAACTTTACATCAATCCTCTTAAGGACTTAGAACTACTCCATTGAACCTCGAACGATCACCGATTCTCCTTGGTCCACGAATTTCTCAACCTTCATAGGTTTGAGTTCCCATATGCGACAAACTCCACGCTAAAAAGTCTAATAAATTTGGAAATAAAACAATACCATGGTGATGATGTGTCATTCATTGGTAGCTCTTTATGCCCCTTCCTATTCGTATCCCTACAGCTCACGATAGTCACTCGGCCTGATTCGTTTCTGCCTCGCTTGGTGTCGATGCGGGTTGACTGGCTGTCGTAGATACGCATTGTCTTCTTCCTTCGCGAATGGTCGTCCGAAACTGGTTCGTTGCTGGTTCGAGAAGGGTGCCATGCCTATGTTTTGTTGGAAGGGCGGTCGTTGTGGGAGATGACTGGGAGGTTGGTTCATGAAATTCATGCTCATGGGCATCATCCCGCCTGGGCCAGGGCCGAAATTGCTTGGCCCATATCCACCAAATGGCATCATTGGCTGGCTAAAGCTATTCGTATATGGTCCGTTTGGCATACCAAAGTTCATATTATTACTCGCCATCTGATTCCACCCATTTTCGCCTTGCGCATATCCGTTTAGCATGGGCGTAGAGCTATCTACATTGCCAATAAACCCCGGCATTGGCATCACGTTCTGTTGAGGAAACCCGGTCATTTGGAAGTGTTGGGGAGATGGAGAATTAAAATTTCCGAAGGGTAGTTGCTGATGGAACGGCGAGGGAGAAAATCCGTTATGGATTTCTCCTTTTTGGTTATGATGGCTGTTGACATGAGGCTGGCCGTCGTTTGATTTCTGCTTTTTCATTGCTGGTGCAGTGGCAACAACATCCTGCCCACTTGCATTTTCGTCCCTTTCTCCTACCGGTCGCTTTTTCAAACATGTCGGACTAGGCTGTGTTGGTAGTTTGGGGGAAGAAGTAGACACGTATTTTTGGTTGGCGGGTTCCGAAACAACTCTTGGAGGAGATACGGTGGATTTTTCGCTAACTGATTGCTCTCTCTCCTTCTCTTTTTTCTCGGCCTTCTCCTTTTGATAATCCTTTAGTTTACCCACAGCTTCTTGGTCCACTGTTAGATTGTCTAGTAATACGCCTTCCGTAGAACAATTAGGGCAAACGAAATCACTTTCGATCAATGCATTTGTGATACAATCATTGCAATAAGTTTTTTTGCAGCATGGCGTTTTCGTTGGCTCTAGTAACAATCGTTTATCAATTGGACACTGTAAACCACGCGCCTGTATCTCCCTGCTCCCTTCAGCTGCGGCAAATTCAGCTGCCGCTGCAGCAGAAGCTTTGGCTTTTTCCTGGTATAATTCCCATGATGCCTTATCTGGCTGAGCAACCACGAAGTCGCCATCCGCATTTACCATTACACCAGAAAGCTTCGAATCTTCGTTTGACCCATCCAATGCCAAGGAATCAGGCTTTTCAACCTGTTTCTGGAGCGAGCGGGGTATTCCCGTCGATCGTTTGACTCGATAACGACCGTCAAATTTGGGGTCATTATTGGTGGGACATGCTTGTATCCAATGACCTAAGAATATGTTAGCCTGTTACTAGATCCCCTATAGCCGCTGATAACGACGTACCTTTTTCTCGGCAACGGTAGCATAAATAACCTGGAGGTGGAGGATGATCAGGGACATTGACAGGTTTTCCCCTGCTTCGATTAAATGGAACTGGAGTAGCACTGTTGGTAGTATTTTGTTAGCAGGTTCATTGTCAAGGAACTAATAAATACATGATGACTGTGGCATGACCTACTTGGCCATTTCGTTTTGTTGTTCTTTCCATTGTGTTTCCTGCAAGCTAAACAAAGCTTTGATCTTTTCATCTTCGGATTGCGCAGCATTCAAATCAGGAATATTGTTTATAATAGCACCTCCACCGCTGACAGTTCGGTTGGATGTAGGGGGTTCAATCCTGGAGGAACTACGCGCGTTCACTGGCATTTTACCAGAGACATAGCGTGCCGCCCCGCCCTTCCCGGGCCTTGCGGCAGGAAGCCTGCGGGCGATTACAGAGGTGGATCGTGGGATAATCGTTGTGTCATCGTCGTATTCTATGGGAAACGAGTTAGGTCTGCAACGTGAAGTGCTAGCTA